AAAAAAGGGGCGGCCGTGTGGGGAGGCCGCCATTTTAAACGGCAGCTGCAGTACTACCTCTCTCTCCCCCCCTTCCCTCCCCTCCGGCGCCGACAAACCCGGAGCGCTCTGCTCAGGCCGCGACTTGCTCACCTTCCCTAAGGCCTTGTCAGCTTCCCCGGATCCCGGCGGCTACCAAAGGCAGGGGAAAAGGCAAGAGAAGGGGAGGGGGAAGGGAAGGGGAGCCGGGGAGCGGGGCTGGGGAGGGGAAGGGGGAGCGCGCGAGGCAGGGCGAGTCTCCGAGTCACCACGGCAGGAGCAGCGGCCTCCCAGCGCTTCCCTCCGCCACCTCCATAGAGAGCCAACCCGCCGCCGCGTCTAACGCGCACGGAGGCCGCTCCACTAACTTTATTGCCCTTCCCGCAACCTACCCCGCTCCCTCCAACCGCCGCCAATCGCCGCCGAGGGCCCCGCCCAGCCCGCCAATCGCCGCCGAAGAAAGGGGTGGTGCTAAAGCAGAAGTGGGAGGAGGGACGGCGCAAGGTTGGTTGAGTGGTACCACCGCCGCAGTGCAGCAACTGTATTCACAAAAGCAGTTACGCTATTTGGCTGGCGAGAGAGCCGAAGGGGGAAGGGAAACCTGCGCAAGTGGCGTACCCAGGCAATAGGGACAGCTTGGCTGCGTCTCTGCTGCACTGTTTGTTCCTGTGCTTTAACGGTTACAGGGCCCCAGTTCTAGAGCCCCAAAGTTATTCTGTGTGAGTTGCAGTTGATTCTAGCACATTCACAGCAAAGACGGCTTTATATATATGTGTGTGTGCGTAAAGACTTTTTTTTAACTGAGATTTTACTTCACTGTGACCATGTTTCAGATGTGGTTGAGGCTGTGGTAAAATGTTATCTGACTGCAGGCTGCGGCCCTGGGCTTGCAATCAGATCCGAAGGAAGAGGCTTGCCATTTGAGATCCCAGAGCACGGCTCTGTGGATCCAATTTCAGGTTTGCTTTCTGACTCTGGAAGCGATCTGTGTTTCTGCATGTACTTTTAGCTGTGAACACTCCTATCCGCGGCAGGGCATCCTGCAAGCACAACCAGACTGCCTGAATCTCAACGCCATTTTTAGGTGTTTACTGTGGTAAACAAAACAGCTCTTGAGTTTTTTTTTTTTTTTTTTTTTTTTTTTTTTAACTCCCGTTCAGTTAAAGAAAACTGAAGGTGGAAGTTTGAGTCATGAGACACTTTGAGGAGTTATGGCTCTAGAATTTAATCGCTGTGTCCCAGTCCCAGGTTGTCACTGAGGGAGCAGCTTACATGGCTTTTTCTAAAAAAATAACCTTATTTGTCTTAGATATGGCATGACAAAAATAAAACAAGAGCAAAGTAAATCTAACAACAGATCCCCACAAACATCCACATCTGCTTTGTTCACACATATACACCTTCCGCTTTCAGTTCTCATGACTCATAACGCAGATTGACTGCGAGAAAGTGACACATATGCTAACTCTTGAACCATTCAGTTGGCAAGTCCAAACAAATGGTATTACAGAACTTGCAGTTTCCCAGAGCTAGCCTCATTCCTCATGCTTTCAACACAATGTATCACTATGTCCCAGGAGTTATATAAGGCCTAACGGGCGCCTTCGTATACAGCTTCTTATATTTTTATTTAGGATGAAATTCATTCAAGGTGGGTTTCCTTATCTCATACACATAAACATTGAAGACAGTTACCTATCAGTTAAGTGAAGCACAGTTTATATAGATCTAGGAAAATCATGAACAAACTATCTGGGAGTAAGCACATACTTTGAGTAAGGCTGAACATAACTATGAGTACTTTTCCAGGCAGAATTGCATATCACAACCCCTTTTTTTCTTTTTTTTTCTTTTTTTTGGTACATTCAGAGATTGCCATTTTATTACTGCAACAACTTGGACTTGAATCACTAAACTAACGTGAATCTGCAAGAACAGAACTGTGCAGAACCCCATTGAAATCAGTGGAATGCCGTTTGAAAGAAGAGGTCAATGTGCACAGATGTAACAAAAATGCCAACAAAATTTAAAGCAATATTAAAACTAGGTTATATTTTTCAAATAATTACTAAAATTGTAATAAAAATACTTTTAAGCTTTAAAACCTGACATGACAATAAGGTTTTCTTTTGCTTTTCATGGCAGAATGTTTTCCTGTGGCATTCCCTGAATAACCATTTCCAACCCAGGATATGCAGAGACCCCCACAAATGAAAATAAAGGAGAATTTATCTTGTAAACTTATTTTGGAAGAGGATGAAAAACCTTCAAAGCATAGTAAGTGCCTATTAACAGACTTTCACCTTCTGACTTCACAGATATCACCTTTTATTTGCTTATTTCAGAGCACACTATAAATATTTACACCTATAGCAACAGAAAAAATAAACTAGATGTCTTTGGTAAGAGAATAATAGCAAATTATCATTGTTTTATTAAAATCGTGATTGTTTGTTCAGGCCTCAGTCCTGGAAACATGCATGCTAGGTTTAAGTCTCATTCAGATCAGCAGGATGTATACTGTTTCATAGTTCACAGTGCTTTGGCAGGTGGGAACCTGAGAAGTTCCTGCCATTGGCTTGCTTCCACATCTGCACCATGCTTTGCCAGCTTTGTATTCCAGTTCCACCAGCACAGTAGATGAAGGCAATGAACTATAGCACAAAGGAACAACAACAAAAAAAAGCCTTATACCTCTCACCTACTTCTTAAATTTCATAAATTAATAGGGAAGACACACCAATATTCATTTCTGAAAATGAAACAGCCCAATTGCTTATATGGTTGTTCAGTAAGAAATTTAAGTCAAGACTTTTTATTTTCTATTTGTCCCCTTGACTCCATGAAAAAAAAAAACATTCAGTAGTTGTCAATTTCAGTAGCAAATTTCACCCATTATTAGCCTTACCTCACTTATTCTCCATTATATTTTTTTGCACTGCATATTCTTCCTTTCTGTCTGCCACTTATCTTAAACATCAGTGATGCTTTAATTCAAAGAACCTGGGTTACAATTGACAGTGATGTTTCTGGATTTCAGTCTGAATTTGTAGAATCTATGTATAATTTCACCATGAGTACACTGTCATTAGTTATCTGGAGAAGAGAGTCTGTCTTTACAGAAATGCTATGAGGAACCTACTATGTTGCAGGCTGCATGGCACAGAACCAGATGCAGCATCTGGCTGAGAGGAAAAGGCCTTTCTCTTGTGGATGTGGCCTAGCTCAGATCCCAGTACAGCTGCTGTCACCTACAAAACAGTCCACGAAATGTTGGAAAGGAGCTTTCCAAAACTGCTAAGTTCCTCGTTACTGGCAAATTTGCATCACCCCGATTTATCCTGTGTAGTAGATTGCATTGCAATGATTACAAAGCTGAGCGCTGCTGGGTGGAGATTGTAGCCTGACTCCTGATAACAGGGTAGCTGCAGTAGTGTAGTACTGTACCATCTCCAGAGAGCACTACATCTCATCATTGTGCTCATGTTGCTGTACTAGTTCTGGGTCTGGGCAGGCTGGCTTTTAGTCAGAGCGCCCCACTATGTAGTATAGGTGTAATATGAACCAAAGCATCCATATAGAAAATGTGTGGCATAACTAATTTATTGAAAATTCACACCCTACTTGACTCCATGACAATTTTCCAACATACCTGCTTGTATATCAAGCTGCTTTTCTGCTTGCCTTTTCCTGTGACCCTAACTTTTCTCCAAGATGATTTATAGTTCCTGATCCATTAATGAAGAAGCTAGCAGCAGCATTTTAACCAAATACATACTTTTTCTTACAATAAGAGTCTGTCTGAAGCACATTTTTTACTGTAGAAGGATGGGAAAGAACTGAAAAAAATCTATATTTTTCATTTTTAAATAACTTATTTTCAGTGCTTCTACTGAAAGGGAATGCAATGACATTTGGAAAACATATTTATCTGATGCAGCTGCACTATTATTAGAATTGTTTGCTTTGTGTTTGGGAAAAATGCACCATGGTTGTTCTCTGCAGTATTTTAATTTGAAAATTATTGGCATATATTTCTTCTTCAGAAGCATCTTCCGTGATGACCTTCTGTGATATAGTTAAATACTCACAGAGGTAGTAGCATTTGAATCCTTCTAAACAGTGCTGAAGTTCTAACCCCTGCACTGCAAAGTCACTTCTCCACTTTTTTTTTCTTTGAAAAATAATTTCTAGTAGATTTATGTGGATCTTGGGACTATTAAAACCAGTGATTTTGCTTTGATCCAGTTGTCTTTGGAAATGCTGCTCTGTATACTTTAACTCAGCCCCCAGAGTTCCTGCTGCTCAGAACTACTAGACCTTCATAGTCTGTCAGGTATATTTGAAGATTTTTTCCTCATCATTGTCTGTTTCAGGCTCCAGAAACTCATTAGTCTTTCCTGAATATAACAGTCTGGGAATTTAAATTGTCCAGATTCTCATGGTTGTTCTCTGTAAGAAATTTTGGAAAGATATTTGGGATATAACCTTATGTGAGCCAGTGAAAAGTAACTGTAGACTACTAAGGTGTCAGAGATACTGATACTCTGCCTGTAAATGTTTATATAGGCAACTAAAGAACGTGAGACAATGTCTGTAACAGTCCAGCCTGCTTTGCTTTCACAGTCCTGTTTAGAATGGTGATTATTCAGAGACAATATGATTGTTCTAAGGGAAAAGTGTTATAATTTTCAAAGACAGAAGTTGCATGTGTTCATGTGCGTTCACAGAATGGTCTGGGAAAAAATAGTAACTGCCTCCTGCCTCCTCAGTAGGTCTATTTCAAAGAAACATGTAAGCATGTTTTAAAGTGACCGATTTGTCCACGCTTTGCAGGATCAGCAGAGTAACTGTGCTGGACAGCATAGTCCACTGTTCTGTTTCTGACATCAGCTAGCACCAGCTTTAAAATCAGGTAGGACAGCGTTGTAATTTATCATTTTCGTTAACTGTAAAAAAAAGAACATTTCTTTCTCCTAATAACTGCCAATTAATCTTTAATCTTTAATCTTTTTAATCTTTAAATTGCCAAAAAACAGTTATCATTTTTACATTTTTACAGTTATTACTGTTATAATTTTCTCTATTAATGTCTAAATTTGACACCAGATTTATGCATCTGAAATATTATGTCATAATGAGTTTTATGGTTTAATAGTAAAATGTTCTAAAAGTAATAATCTTTGTATCAGATTTAAAATGTGTTGTGTTAATTCTATTGTAATATGCTTGTTTAAGTGGTTTTATGGCAGTCAATGTCCATATGAACTACTTACCATAAACACCTAAGGAGCTGATAAATGACAGCCGATTGAGTTGAAAAAACATTAGTGTCCAATATTGCACAACATAACTCCATTATTTATAGAAATACGTTATTGCTGAATACTGAACTGTAGGTAGGAAGTTACTTACTATTATTAAAATGCTACATTTTGTGCTACAAATGTATTTTTTTTTAATTGACCAAAATGCTGTGTCACAGTTTGTTTGTGGAGGTGTATCTAGGTAAATTACTGTGTGTATATATATATTATATATATATAAATAAAATAGTTATCAATAAATGTTTAACATTAATACAGTTTACAATAATGACGGAGGATGAAATTAATGATGTATTAAGTTTCTGTAAGGACCAGATTTTCTCTTATTTGGTTCCAAACTCCACCTGACCTAGGACAAAGAAAATCTGTATAGCATTTTTAGTCATCAAGAGGAAGCAAAAACACAGGAAATCAGTTATTTTAACTAATGGTTATAGATGTAGGTTAACCCTTTTGAAGTCAGTGAGGTCCCTCTTTTTTGCATAGTTAGTTGTGAGAGAAGTTCAAGATCTTCCCATGCAATAATGAAAATGATTATTACTTGCTGTACGTATCACTTGCATTTTTAAATAGTTTCAAGAACATTAGACCACTGGATTACAGTAGACAGCATTTTCATTGCTTGACTATCGTTCCCTTTTTGATATCCAGCCTGGTATGTTAAAATTATATCCAGCTTATGTTAAAATTGTGTTTTATTTCTGTAGAATATT